AAGTGTACCCTCCTGGTACTCTGTATCCTCTGCTCCTAACCACAGGCTCTCTGCAGCATCTGACTAGGTTGTTTACCAAACCACTGAAGACTGTCTGATCCGTGTCCAGGGTTCCCCAGAGAGTGCCTCAAGAGAGCCGTGTCCTGGCAGCTCTCAAATGCGCTCTGAAGGTTCCTGAATCTCCTCTTTGCTGTGCTGCTGGGTGCTGGTTCCGATCCATAAGGGAAATGGAAAGCTGGCCAGCTGGGCGAGGGCTGCGTGGAGCTCCTCTAGAACAGTAAACAGTGACTCACCCCCTCCTTGTGTCTTCTCTCTCTTCATGTCAAATATATTGCCTCGCATATGCTTCTACTCTCTGATTCACAGCATCAGCCCGTCCCTCCCCGCTCTCATTACAAATGAGTGACAAGCGTCAGTCTGCCTTACAGGATATGTGAAGATTGTCAGCGCAGGAGAATGGCTTTTTGAATGATGGGGAGAGGGATGGTGCTCTGCCTGCCATGCTGCAATGTGCTGGGAATCCGTGTCGTGCCTCCGAGCGGCAGAGGCACGGCGATGAAGATTTAAGCATCTGTAGTTCTCTTCACCTGTCAGCTCTCGTGTTATCCTTGGTAGGCACATCTGTTTGGCTAGCGCTCTGGAGCTGGGAATAACTTGCGGATAAACGAGAAATTTGGGTAACTTTACTAGAACGGCTGCCTGGGAATTAAATCGCCACGTTTGGGAATGAGTAGAGTATTCCCTCTGTAACTGTCAGTGCTGAATTGAGACGCGATGGCAGAGATCCCCATCGCTGCTTGAACCTTACGCTGTTTTTCTGCCCTCTGGAAGTCATCGCTGCCCTGGCTGAAGGTGAGGGCTGCATGTTTTCAGTTTGCTGTACGTGTCCGAGGATAGAAGCTAAACACCAGCAGGGCTGTCTGCCAGGCACTCATGTTCTGGCCGCGGTTTGTCTTTCAGTGTAGAAGGAGTTTTAAAATTCGAGTTCATCCGCAGTTGTCGGGTGTCGGCAATGACTTTATAGTAATTCCTTAATGCGTAATGCGCTTTGAGAGCCCTGTAGCGTGGAAAGTCTGAAATCTCATTCTGGCATGTTTTCTTTCTTAATTGCAAGCCTTGTGTGGAAAGCTCTGTCCTACCTCTGCCCGAGTCAAGCTTTCTGCTGTCTTCTCCTTTCAAAGCAAAGGAGCTGGGGATCTCTAGATGGTCCAAGCTGAGACGGTCAGGCTTGGGACGTCAGCTGGAGACCTCCAGGTTTTTGGGAGGATGTTGCAAGGGGCATAGGAGTCGTCTGAGAGAGGGAGAGGGCGTTGGCAAGGCTGTCAATGGGTAACTTTATTACAGGATTACAAGGGCTCTTTATGTAACCCACAGTCAAAACACTTGCTTTAAATACAAGCGTGGAGCTGCACTGGAAAAGCCTTTGCCCCTTACAGTTGGTGTATTACTACTCGCCACTTTATTTATGTAGCGTTCAAAGTGTGTTGTACAGCTTACAGAATAGAGATGTAATGCGGTCCTTGTTCCAAAAAGCTGAGCTCCTAATTTTAGACGTGATGCAGCAAACGCAATTAAGAAAAGAAGGGCAGGAATAGGGTAAAGACTAAAAGGGTTCTAGTAATCAAATCGCAGGCAGGGTCCCAGAACACCCCTGCGCGGCATGTTTAGGGGACGCTGCTGGATATGACATGTGTGCAGGATGGTTTACGATTTTGTCATGGGGTTTTGCCTTCCAACTGTGGGAGATGCCATGCCGATTGTAGTTGGTATCCCAAATATTGTAGGTGGGGAGATGGAGATGGAGCCCGAGGCCCATCTGTTGGTGGACTGTTGGTGAGGGTTGTAAGTGGTGTTGTATCGGTTTCGAGCAGAGCCCGGACCACACCTGTGGGTTCACCTAGTGCAGAGATAAGACTCTCCTTGGCACTCGTGTCGGAGTGCGAGACTTGAGCCTGTTCGGGTGTTTATACTTGCACTACCAAATCCTGCCCTGAGGGTCGGGGCAGACCCCCATCTCCCACCCTCGTTTGAAGAGGGCCCAACGTTGCTATTCCTGACGGTGCCCTGAACCTCCTTGCTCATCTCTGTGCCAGCGGCGGCTCTGGCACATCGCCCCTGGTGCAATAGGATGGATCTCAGCCCATCCCGGAGGGATGCCGGCCCATCCAGGGTTGCTTTGGTGTGCAGGGGGAGACAGGCGTGCAGCACAAGACCCTGAAGGCATCAGTGCCGTCCGCCGAGGAATGTGCAGGGTAAGGAGATGTTGCTTTGGCGACATGGAGCAACAGGTGACGAGAAGGGGTTTCGTCACGTGGAGCCGGAGCGTTGCTCAGGGTGGCAGGCGAGCCCGCGCGCTGACCCCCACCGGAGGCAACCTCACCCCTCGCCTCTTGTTTGCCACGATATTTTATATTTCTTTCCATCTCCGCGTGGCCAAGTGGCCCTGTTCAGTTTTTCCATCGGCTGGCGTAGAACGTGCTTTGAAGACGCGCTGGGTGAGGATCAAAAGGGTTTTTGTGTAATCGGTGGGTGTGACGGGTCTGTCGTCGGCCTCCCCCTCCTTTTTGACTTTCCTTTTCCGGTTTCAGCAGCGCGGAGTGCCGCCAGCGGGACGGCAGCGTGCCCCTCTCCTTGTAGGGATGGGGGCGGCGAGGGAGGGGGGATGCCGAGGGAAGGAAGAGTTTCTGATGCTGTGGGAATGTGAGCTCTCAAACTCTGTAAACAGCTGGTGACTCACTGCATAACTATGGCACCAACTGCCTGCGCGCCCGCGGCGCTGTGCGTCTGCAGGGAGGGGGCTGCCGGCCGTTTCCTTTACGCACTGGCAGCGCCTCTGCTCTCCTGAACTCGCCGGGACCGTTTGGCTGAGACGAGGAGCTTTTTCCTTCCTCCTCCGTGCTAGCGCCTACATCTGCGCCTCCAGCCTGGAGGTAGGGGTGGGCGGCGAACGCCCGGCGTGGAGGGGAAGCGATGGACGGTGGAAGGGCAGCGCTGGGGTCTGAAGAGATGCCTGTGCTCGCAGGAGATCCTGCCCGCCGGCCTGCCTGCAGTCAGCCCTTGTGCAAAACACGCAGTGTGGCAGCGGCCAGAGGTCAGGCGCATCCCCGTCCCTCGGAGGCGGCTGCTGGGGACTGGGACTTGCTCCCCTGCCCTGTGCCCAGCCCGCTCCTGCGGCCCTGGTGAGGCAGGGGCTGCTGGAGGTGTGCCCAGGGTGGGGTTCGGTGCCGGAGGAGAGGAGGGAAGGACTCGGTGATGCTCTAGAAAACGCAGCGCACACCAGTTGCTGTAAGTGGTCCATTCATCACAGAGCATTTCCTTGTCCCTCCTCCAGACATGGAGAGCGGTGCTGTCTCGGGCTTAAAAATAGAGGAGGCGCCTAAATACACTCCCTAATATCTAGGATAGTATCTCGCAGCTCTGCACTTACGAGATTATTTTTCCGCTCCCCCCCCCCCCCCCCTTCACCTTCTT